TGTGCCACAGAAGGAGGCGCCACCTGGTCTGGCGCCATTCTTAGCATCCTTCTTATGGCTGAACCCATTGTTGCAGTCACGTGCCGATGGAGACTGTGGTAATACCAAAACCAAATTCATGACTGTGGAGTCTATGCCAACTCGCAGAAAGGCTATAGGATAGAGTAGAACTTCCCTACTACGTGTTTACAACGTTGTAATCTTCATAGAAGCCAGCTGCAAGATCTGTTTCCCATGGAGTAGCTAGTGAGCTCAAAACGCCCATCTTTTGGCAAGCAGCCAAGTCAGCCTGGTGCCAACAGAGCTCCTTTTCATAGCAAGCATAGGAAAGGTAAAAGGGGAACATTTCCCAGGGTCCTAAACTATGTTTGCTTTGGAGACAATGGTATTACACTTCTTGTTGCATTAAGTCACATGTAAGCTAGCCAAAATTTGACTCAATATTTTAGGTCTTGATTCACCATTTAATTCTCAGAATTCTTCAAGACACGAATACTTCTCATCCTCAGATTTTGTTACGAAGCTCTCTTGTAATCAGCACGGGTTGCAAGGGCAGATTCTTGCCAGCCCAGAAATGGTTTGAGTTTTATGAAAGTTAAAATGATTTATGGCTTATTATTTTCTAAATATGAGTGTTGAGACACACTATTTAGTTTGGGCAACTATGTTTCAGGTAGTCACACAAGACATTCAATTCCCCGAATAACTTCATTATGTGATAATGAGCTTTTAATCATAAAAGAGAATCCCACAATAACTTGTTAATGATCTCCAACTACTACGACACAAAAGAAGACAGCTATGTTTCTCCATTCAACTTATTTCACCACAACAATGTATTCAAAGTATAAGTCTTCACATATGAGAGATGCTGTAAAAAAACGTTGGATGTGTATTTAGTTAATTTCAATTAAAAACTAGGTTCATAGTAAACTCTAAGTATTGTAAATTTATACCCATTTCTAAGGATTAATTTGAAATATCTTAAAGTATTCCATCAAGGAAAACCAAAATATTGTGGAACTTGTATCTGAAAGATTTGGAGGGAAACTGAAGGAAGAAATTAGCAGTTTCTCTGCCCTCTGGTGGCAATGAAATTAACTGCAAACCTGACTAAAGTAATGCATAATAAAATGTCCCTGTTATGAAATCAGATTTATTCATCTTTGCCAAAATGTCTGCAATAAAAATCCTGGTTGCTACATGCCAAATTTTAGGGCTGTTGACTTTTTAAAAAGTGTCCTGTCTTGAACTTTCAAAGAGACTGCTTTTCAAAGGAAACTAGTTTTTCTTCAGTTTCACCTGATTGCATTTTACATATTCAGCAGGTTAGTCATTTTATTCCAAGATTTTCCCCATAAATGTATTTGTAGATTTATGTTCGAGAAGGATGGTACTTTGATTTATATTCAAAGCCTCCAAAAATCTGCCAAGACATTTAAAACTATTTTTTATAAAATCTTATATATAGGTTTCTCCAGGTATTTCCCTCCAGAAATATTGGATTGATTTAAAATACCAGTATATTTATGTTGAATAATGTAGGGTTTGCATTATTAATTATTTGGGCAATTTTAAAGTGCAATGAATTTCATCCTCAACCTAGGAATTTAGGATAGCATTGCCTGTGTGTGTAAGATAAATACGTGTGTATTCGTGTATGTGTGTGTATATAACAGTACTTTCTCGGTTATGTAATAATAGTTTAAAAGTTTGGGAAAAACAACTAAACATTTGCTGACCTTTCTTTTCTTTTCTAATTGCAAATGCATGATTTCTTTCTAGGGCCAGAGAAGTTTTCAAACAAACAATTCAGTGCACCTTGGCACACACACCTCTCAAAACCTCCAGCATGATGAAGTAGATTACTTTTCGTAAGCATTTATTTATACCATGAACATGCCCATGCACCTTTTTAATGCGTTGTGTGCCAGACGGGTTAAACTATTTTTGTTTAACAGATGAACAGCATCCGAAAAATGAGTGGGGGTATAATCTACTGGCATCCATAGTACCTAGCAAGAACAATTATAAATGACAGAGACACATCAACAAGGAAATGTGCGTCCTGTTCTCAGCTTGCAAAGGACTGCACTGGGTCTTCCAGGGCCACAGCCACACCTCTGAATCATGAATAAGGAGTGCCGAGTCAGCACTTGTGCTCTCTAAGCGAATGTAAACCAGGGACAGCAGGGCGTGTTGGCTAATGTCTTCTAAGTCTCTGCTTGGGGAAATCTCATTCGAAGGCTTCCTTCAAGATTTACCTTATCTGGAAGCTCCAGGAGCAATTCCCAGCCTTCCCGTGGTGGACTCTCAGGTTGATGCTGGGGAGAGCACTCCTTTGCATTTCCCTTGATCCCAACCAGAAAGTTTCTGTCCTTCACCTTTTCCCCAAGGGTTTGTTAGCTTTTGTTAATGTTTACTTTGTCTTTATTTTTCTCTCTCTTACACACTCACTTACTCTCTTCACCAGTGAGACGAAGGAAAGAGAAGTGGGTGCCAGGTTTGCAATGGGAGAGGCTAGGATCCTGGCAGCTAGACCTCCTCCAATCCCAGCGCCTCACCAAGTGCTGGCCTGGGGCTTGCCTCGTGCTAGGTTAAAGACTTAGGGGTGCAACGCCCCGCAGAAGGCTCACCTGGCTAATGCTAGAGTTGCAAGCCCTGCCAAGGGGGAGGGGGGTTGGAATTGTGGGGGAGTGCTGATCAGGACTGAGAAGTAGGGCAGTCTCAGGGCACGCCAGGAATCCCTGGCTCCATCGGGCCAGTCTGAGAAACTGCCAAGCACAGGACATCAGAGCAAGAGGTGGGTCCCAGGAAATGTGCCTGCCCTCATCTCTCTCACCTCCTCCTCCCCTTCCCCAACATCACCGACCCTGCCCCACTCCTAGAAGGAAGAAAGGAACAAGGCTGGAATCACAGAGGGAGCGAGGAGCGATCGCGGGGAATTTTCGGTGGAGAGGAGACTTGCTATCCCCAGGGATCACTACATCAACCCCCCCACGCCCCCCACCACCCGTGCACCCGCCGAAGTTTATCCGAGCGGCGGGGAATGGAGAAGGAGCCCGCCAGGAGGCAGCTCTGGGATGCCAGCTACCGGGCGATGTAGCCACCGAGGTTTGCCCCTCCATCAGAGCCCTCTAAGCGACTTGGTGGGGAGACTGTACCAACTCCTGCCTCTCGGATGAGGCATGCCCCAAATCCTCAAGAACACTCCCCACCCCCGACTCCCTGCCACCCATTTCTTCGCAAATGCGGAGTCCCAAAACGCAACTGCAACAACTTTCCCCAGGGCAGAGAGGCTGGGAGTGGGATGCCGAAGAGGACGCCAGCGGGGACCCCGGAGGGACCCAGCCACCGTGCACCTTACCATTGATGCGGTCGCGGCGCTCCGCTCCTGCCAGGAGAAACCGGTCCACCAGAAAGTGGCAGAGGAACACAACTCCAGCAGCCGCCAAGTCGGCCCTCGGGAACCTAGCCATGCCGCCGGCCAGACCTGCCTCCCTTGGGGCGCTCGTCCTTCCCGAGGGGGGCCCAGTTGCTCTCGGGCTCCAGGTGGGAGTCGGGGCCACCGGGCCCGGCTCTGTCAAGTTTCTGGGCGGGAGCGGCGCGCCACTGGCCCCTTGGCACCCCGGGGTCCGGAGGCGGCGGGAGGGACGTGCCCGAGGGGCGCAGCCCTCGCGGGTCCTCTCTCCTCTCCACTGGCCGGTCTCGCGTCCTCAGCCACGGAGCAACCACCGCGGGAAGGAACGGCCACTCGCCGCCTCAACTCTCCGCTGCGCACAGGCGATGCCACCCCAGCGGCCGCCGACGCTGACTGCCGAGTCCCCGCGACCGACGCGCTCCACCGGCTTCCACGAGAGCG